GATTTGTACATTATGACTTGGTCCTCCCACCCCTTCTATTTATAAGTAACAGTCTTATTCAGTTCTTTTTCATTTTATGTTTCATTTGTTCAATCTATCTTTAACATGTTTTGCAGGTTCCTAAATTTCCATCTATAGTTAACACTTTTTATGAGTCTTATGCATCCCACTTCTCTTCTCCCTCATGGAACTGAATATTCTCACACAATATAGCAAACATATGTTACAGTGGCTCTCTAGAAGAGTACAATGCTCACTATAGGGTCTCACTAATTGGTTTCCATTGGTTGCACTTTTAACTCCTAGAAAAAGCAGGTTGTGGCAAAGTAGATTACTTGTCACTATTACCAATAATTATCAATTTTGTGTTTTATGTTGACTTGGAAAGTCATCAGTGGAGAAAAAAAAAGCATAGAATCTGGGCATTTTAGAGCTGATGCAATACTGTATGACTAGCAGCAAGGTCAAAGGATTAACAGAAACAGAATATGGGGCCTACCAAATGATTTGGGGAACAGGTGGGTCAGTCTCCTCACTTTTCAGGCTCAAAGAGTTAAAGTGTCTTATTTAAGGTGATATAAAACTCAAACCCTGCCATTGAGTAGGAACTCGGAGCTTATCCTCTATACGGTTCTCAGACATTAGAAGCTACACAGAAGGAGATTGCCTTTCCTTTTCCTATGGAGCAGCTGGTGAATTTGAACTGCTTACCTTTGGATTTACAGCACAACTCCCTGCTGTAACCAAGGTTATACAGCTAGGTATTGGCAAAAACTCAGTGAAGTCCTCAGCCTTTTGAAACCTGATGCAGTACTCATGCTTCTCCGTTATAGGGAGTGGGATTACATGTCTGTGTTCCTTTAACTGCTGAATTACGATAAACATTTACTTGGAAGGGCTTTTCTGAAAAGGTGAATGCACATAAAGGCTCCATATATCACAAGAGATGATTCTTACATTTTACTTTGGTGAGCTCTAATGGAGTCTTTTTACTTCAATGTGCCAGGCATTTAGAAAAAGAAATGACGAAAGCTGGGAGAAAGTTTGTTCCATTTTTTTTTTATTAAGGGTGAGTGAGTAGAAGGGTGATAGGAATGGATGTGACTATGAGGTGAGGTTTCCTTTACAAAGAGGGGCTAACCAGCTCAGAACATAATTTTCTTTAGTTTGGTAGCCTCTCACTTTTGAGAATTATGCATTTATTTCTTTATTTCTCACAAGGCATGATACTATCCTCTAATTGAAACATGTGTGGTTACTTGAAGAAGCAATATAATTGGGAACAATAAATAGTATATAGATATAGATATACATTCAGTAACTATTCCTTTGGTCACCTGTTTTGTGCCAAGCACTGAAAACAGTGGTTCACAACAGTGAGCAAGTGTGGCTGTCCTCAGGGAGCTTACATATTAGAGAGGAAGAGAAATAATCAAGAAACATGCTGTAAATATGTGATGTAAGAAAAGAATAAAGTGATTGTAAAATACAAGCTGTGATAAAGTATATGGAGAAAATAACCAAGGTGGTGTGCTAGAAGCATAGAACTGCTTTAAGGAGCCTTGATGGTAAGGAGTGAAGTATTGGGCTGCTTATCAAAAGGTTGCTAGTTCAAATTCATCATCTGTCCTAAGGGAGAATGATAGTTTTCTCTTTTAAAGGTTTATAGCCTCAGAAACATGATGGACATTTGCCGTGAGTCAATACAGAGTCAATGGCACTGGGTTTTGCTTTGAGGTGAGTGGCCTGGAGGTTTCTTTAATGAAGGCTGAAAGAAGCAGGCATGTGAATATTTGGAAGAAGAACACTCTGGGTAGAAGGAGAGGTGGGAACGGTCTTAGTGTGTCCATTTGGATATAATCTGGTGGAAGGGACAGGTAGACCAGAGTAAGTTTGTGTATGCCCCTCAAGCCATCTGAAAGAATCTGAATTTTATCCTCGGAGCATTGGGAGCCATGGAAGGTTTTAAGTAGGAGGCTAAATGATTTGTTTTAAAAAGACTGGCTTCCCAGCTGCTTGGAGAATGAGAGGAGATGGCTTTGCAAGAGCAGGGAGATGAGTAGGAAGCTATTGTCATTATCTTACAGAGGGAAATAATGGCTAGATAAGAGCTGCTAAAGTGACATTGGGAAGAAGTGGATGCATTCCAGACATGGGAGCCTATAGGGTTTCCTTTTGAATTGATGATGTGAGGCAGCTAAAAGAAGAATCAAGAACAATTTCTACCTTTTTGGCTTGGGGAACTGGGTGGTGCCTATTACAAATTAAGAAGAAAAGAGGGAGCTTTGAGTGGGAAGGAAATTAATAGCTTAGTGTAAGGAGTTGTGTTGCCAACACGAAGGCATATAATTCAAATCCACCAGCTGCTCCGGAGGAAAAAGATAGGCAAGTTACTGCATCTGAAAACCCAACAGGAAAGTTAGCTATGGGTAATTTCTGACTAACATACTTAACAACAGCTTCAAAAGGTGAAGAGAAGTCATGAGATTTGTTGTGAGCAAAGACAATTTGAAATGCTTATTAGGTATTCAGGAGCCCTGGTGTCAATGGGTTAAGCGTTGGCCCACTAACTGAAAGTGGTTTGAATCCACTGAGCTCCATGGGAGAAAAATGAGCAGCTTGTGCCTATTAAAATGTACAGCCTTGGGAACATGATGGAGCAGTTTTTACTCTGACTTGTAGAGTTCATATGAATCAAAATTTACAGCAGTAAGTTTTAGTTTTATTGATATTCCTCTGTAGATGTAAGTAGGCAATTGACGACATGAATTTATTACTTAAAGGAGAAGTTGTGGTTGGAGATATACATGTGGGGGTTATCAGTTGTGGGGCTGCATAACTTTACCTGGAGAGAACTGGGGGAGAGCTGGCATGATATTCATGTTCCTTTTCTCTGTTGGAATTTACGGCAGGCACGGCTGATTGATCATGGCCTTCCTTCCATTGAGCCTGAGCTTCAGAATCTTTCTCAAATGAATGCTCCAGGCAGCCGCTGCTAATCAGTTGATTCTTAGTTGATGCACATGAAAGGAAAAGAAATTCTTTAGACGAAAGTAAACATAAAAATTAATTTCAAGGGAAAAGTGTCTTTCTGGTACTAAGTTCTAGGCAGAATGTATAATGAGGCTGGCTGTTTAATAGTGTTGATAATAAAGCTAATACTAACAAACATTTGCTAGTTGGTAGAGCTTTTATTCCTCCCATACATTTAATAGATTTTTTTGCTATCATCCTGAAAACCCTTCAGGTTGGGTTTTGTAGAAGGAATGGAAACATCATTTGAACGATTATCACTTTTCCTTGACTTTTGTCATGCTGACAGAATGCCACTCAAGAGTGAAGTAGGAAAGGACTTTCTTTGGGCAGAAAAATTAGTCTTGCACAGGTAGGTTTTATGCTGGTAAATTGTTCTCCTTGTCTTGAGACCCTTCAATGATGGTACAAGAAGCATACTTGATTCATGTTGGAAGGGTTGAAGGTTGGCAGAGAGGAAGTCTCTGAATGAGATGGATTGACATAGTGACTGAGGCAAAGGGGTCAGGTGTGTTGGAGACCGGTGAGGTTGGCTCAGGATAGGCTGAGGTTCAATCATAATAGGGTGAGGTTCAGAGCCATAGTTAAGAGGATCACTATGAATTGTAGTCGACTTAACAATAACATACATTTTTACAACTGAGAAAGATAGATGGTAATTATCATCCATTCCTTCCCCCCCACCCCCACCACCCCATTGCAAACTTTAAACAGTTGTTCATAGAATTACAGGATGTACCACTGGTAAGGCCCTTAAAGATCACCAAATCCCTCCCTCATTTTGCTGATCAGCAGAGTGACGCCTCAGGTCAAGAATTCAAAGGATACCTTTTGTGAGCAAACACTCTCCGGGATGAGGTCTGTAATGTTGCAGGGGCAGCGCAGCCTTTGAAGTGTTGTCTTTTCAAAGACACCTCATGCAACCCTGGAGAAAGACCCAGGAGTTCTGATTCAGTCAGAGAAGGTGACCAGAGTGGAGAGGAAGCCACTGAACTTGCCTTGTCTATTCATTTATCATCCTCCGAAGAGTTTTGTCTAACTCTGCTCCCTTGATGACCATCTTTTGATGCCAGCAAGTAGAATCCCAAACTAGGAAGTATGGCATCAAATCATGAAGTGAAGCCCAGGTCATCACAATAAGAGTGAGTCTGAGTTTGATGTGACGCCCGTGTCTCATGATGGGAGTATTGGAGAAAGATATTCCTTCCCAGGAGGAATGTTACTGGACTCAGACCCCTGCAGTGCTGCTGAATGGAACTTCGGCTTTGATGAATATTTCATGAGGAAAGTCATCCACGACATGCTTTCAGAGAAATTCCAGGCACGCATATGGAACACGAACACGTCTTGTATTTATTCTTTAAGCAAAGGCTGGGCTGTCTGGTATTATTAGCACTAGTAAATCTCTCTGCGGTACAAGGCAAGGACAGAATTCCCTAGATGCACTGTGAGAAGGAAGCTTAGACCATGGGAAAAGGGAAATTGAGTCTGCTTAGTGGCATATGAGTCTTGCTAGGCCTGAGGCGCTTTGAGTGTAGGACCCCATTTATCTGCTTGCCTCTCACCTTATTTTTCAGCAACTCAATCTATGTGCAGCAGCCTGCATTGCTCAGTGTCCCGCCAAAATTCCTGTCAGAAAAATCATTGGCTGGCTCATTGTGAATTTGTTAAAGTGACAAGCGGGCATGGTGACAGAAAAGACATTTCTGGGTTTTGCATTGCATGAATGCAGCTGTGTGGTGTGGTGGATGGCTCCTGGATACCTATTGACTGGGGTGGGTGGGGGCAGGGGGATAGAGAATGAATGATGCAGTCAGAATCTTTTGGACATGGCTGTTTTAACTATGGATATTTTTCTTTCTTATATTCCTTCTCTTCTTTCTCATTCTGTACTTCTCTTTCTTTACCCCTTCCCTCTCCTGTTTCTCTCATTCTGTTTTTTCTACTGTTCTTCTTTGACTTTCTAGACACAGAAAGAGAGATCCACGCAGCCCCTCATGTGAGTGAGAAATTAATCCAGCTCTTCCGAAATAAGAGCGAATTTACCTTTCTGGCTACAATACAGCAGAAGCCTTCGACTTCAGGAGTGATAATATCTATTCGAGAACTGGAGCACAGGTAAGAAAAACTCTGTTTATGAAAACCAAGATTTGCTTAATGTTTCCCAAAGGAAAAATGACGCCTTGAAATGTAGAGATCATAGCTCTGTGGAAAGATTTAACTAGCTAAGATCTAACAAGGTAAGTAGTAAAGACATTAAGTTTTTCTTGTGACCTGTGTAAAAATTTATAGAGCAAATTCGTTTTGCATTCACCAGTTCATATGTTCCTGATAGTGACAAGATTGATTTTCACTTGGGTAGCAGCACTCTTCAGTCTCCTTCCTGTGCTTCTCGAGTCCCATGTGTTCTTCTTTTCCATCCTTCCCTGCCTTCTTAACTTTTTCCTTGGACAAATGCTTCCAATTTAATCTTTAACGATTGATTGTTTAACAGACTGTATTTTCTCTGGAGTGTGATTGATCAATTTACAGGCAGGTCTGTTGTTTGGCTGAAAGTTAAGTCATAGAGTGATTTCCATTTCAAGCTTAAAGCCTAACACCATAATCTCAGTGGTTCCACCAGTTTCCAGCAGACCGATAAGCCTGGTCTTTATAATGATTTTGAGTTTTGTTTCACATTTTTCCCCACTCTGTCAGGGACCTTCTGCTGTGCTCCCTTTCAGAGAAGTTCATAGTGGCCGATGGACACCAGCTCATTCTCCTGGGCTCAGGGTCAGTCTTCAATTTCTTGATGGTGTTCAGTGACCATTTTGATGAAGTCCTATTTATCTATGTATTTGTGTGTGTGTGTGTAATTAACTTTTGGTGTCTTAAGAAACCATGAAGATTCTAAAGACACAAAGATTTACTCCTATGTTTTCTTGTAAGAGTGTCTAGAATTGTTATGTGCTATCAAGTTGGAACTGACTCCTAGCCAGCCCTCCAGCAGGTTTTCAGAAGCTGTAAATTTAGATTCAAACACAGACTCCCAGGGGAGATTGCAACCTGAAAGCAATACCTTAAGCTGCTTGGCCATCTCGATGGCGTTTGCCATCAGAGAGCTGGACGATGAATAAAGATAATAGAAGAAGAATTGATACCTTTGCACTATGGTGCTGGAGAAGAGTACTGAATATCTCATGGACTGCCAAAACATACGTCTTGAAGAAAGTGCAGCCAGAATACTTCTTGGAGGTAGAGATGAAAAAGCTTTGTCTCACATACTTTGGGTATGTTGCTAGAAGAGGCTTCCTTAGAGAGGGACATTGTGTTTGGAAAGGTAGAAGGATGACAAAGGAAAGGAAAACCTTCAACCAGATGGTTTGACATAATGAATGGAGCAGTGGGGCTTGAATATATCAGAAATTATAATGCTGGCACAGGATAGCACAAGGTTCAGCTCTGTCGTTCACTGGTCACTATAGGTTGTACTCGACTTGATGGCACCTAACAATAGTAACAGCAGAAGTATATTGTATAGGAGATTTCCTATCTTTTTTCCCTGTGGAGTGTGGTCCAAGTGGATGCAAACTACATTCTTTTGGTTGGCAGTACAACTTCTTACCACTAGGCCACCAGCACTCCCTTTTGTAGTATTGTTGTTGTTGTATGCCATCAAGTTGGAACCAACCCACGGTCCACCCTCTGGTAGGTTTTCAGAGGCAATTAAGCACATGGCAGGAGTTTGTCCTTCCTCCGTGGAGAAGCTGGTAGGCTCGAACCATGTGCCTTCAGGATTTCAGTGCACTGTCTTGCCACTAGCAATTGCATTTAAATGTTTGTTCCAGTTTGAGTTCATTGTTGTGGATAGTATGTGGTGGCTGATTTCATCAGGTGCCATCAAGTACAACTCATGGTATGTGGTAGGGGGTCAAATTTTATTCTTTGTTTTATAGTTTTTTCCATTGTCCCAGCTAAATTTCATTATCTTGGCATCCTCTTGAAAGATCACTTGGTTTTAAATGTGAGAGAGTTTTCCTTGATTTTTATTCAGTTCCTCTACATGTTCATCCTTATTCCAATACTATCTTTATTACTGTGACTTAGTAGTGAGTCATGAAATGAGAGAATGTGCATCTCCAACTTTTTTTTATGAGATTGTCTATTTTCCTTCCTTTGAATTTGTTTATCAATTCTAGGATCTGCTTATCTGCTTCTGCAAAGAAAGTATCAGAGATTGTGATAGGTATTGCATGAAACCTGAAGATCAAATTGGAGGATATTGTCATTCTAGCAGTTTATAACTGTTACTGATTTATGCACATGGAGTTTATTTCCATTCATTAAATTTCTTTCAACAATGCCTCACAGCTTTTACAATATGTTTTGTAATTCTTTTGTTAGTTCTTTTCTTTTAGTCCTACATATTTTATCATTTTGATCTTATTTTTTAATTGAATGGGTTTGTTAATTTAACTTTATTTGCTTGTTACAACTGCGTAGAAATGCAATTAACTATTTTTTTAAGTTGATTGACTTTAATATATTGATCTTATGTTTTGAAACCTTGCTGAATCAAGTTTTAAAAAGATTTTTGTCTGCGTACATGGACAGCCAAGAAAACAGACAGCTATCTTGGAGATGGTGCTTCCAGAGTGCTCTTTAGAAGTGAGAATGGTGAGGTTTCACCGCACATACTTTGGGCATGTTGCTAGAAGGTGCTATTCCTTGGAGAAGGACATGATACTGGGAATGGTGGAGGCAAGAAAGGCCCTCAACCAGTCAGATTGATATGGTGACTTCTGTAATGGGCTGTTGTGTGTCAGGAAGTGTGAGGAAGACGCAGGATAGAACTGGGTTCAGGTCCGTTGTTCATGGCTTTGCTATGAGTTGTGCTCAATCTGACAGCACCTAACAACAACAACAACAAGATCATATCATCTGCAAATACAGACATTTTCCTAAATATGATGCTTTTTATTACTTTTTCTTGTCTAAATATCATCAAATACTCATTGCCATCAAGTCAGAATCAGTCCATGGCCAACTCTTCAGTGGGTTTCAGAGGCTATAAATTACAACTTCCTACCCATTAGGCTACCAGAGCTTCCTGTGGAGAAAAATAGGCATCTTTATCTCATTCTTGCTTTTTAAGGGAAAGCAATGTTGGATTACCCAGTAAGCAAGGGCAAGCATGGGTTTATTTGTGTTTTTTTACTACTCTGTAGTAAACAATTCCATGTTTCTTCACTATAGCAAAGTTTGTGTTTTTAGATATGATTGTCGTCTTTCTCCTAACCCCACAGTGTTTTCCTACAGAAAGCCTCTTAGGAAGTTTATAGTCTCTCCTCCTTTGTTTTTTAAACTCAAGCTCTTTATAGTCCCTGACAGGAATGGAATATCCCATATGCAAGACAAACATGAATTCACTTGTGTGTGTTCGCTGATCTGTAGAAGTTAGGTGGCTCATCCATCTATAGGGAGTTGTACTGCTAATCCTAAAGCCACATCTCTCTGGTTAATCTGAGTGGATAAATTTCACTTGGGTTTACCACAACAAAACCTATGTGAAATTGTTTAGTACGGATTAGTAAATAAGTACAGGTAAATCCATGCTCAGACCCTGGCGGGAAGCCCTTCAGTTTTTGAATATTAAGTATGATTTTAACAATAGTCTTTTTTAATTTTTTATTTAATTTTATTTTATTATTTTGTGCATATACCGTCAAATCAGATCTGACTGGTACAGGAGGAGATTGCCCCTCCTTCTCCAGCAGAGCATCTGGTGGATTTGAACCATGTACCTCTGGGATTGCAGTGCAGCTTCTTGCCACTAGGCCACCAGAGCTCCCTTAGTCTTTTCTTTTTAAAGATACTCTTTATAAGGTTGAATGTTTCCTGCTAGTCCTAGTTTAAGAAATATTTTAATTATGAAAAGGTATTAAATTTTGTCAAATGCTTTATATGCATCTACATGTGACAATCATGTGGTTTTTATCCTTTATTAAAGTAGCCTGAAAGGAGTCCTGTTGATATAGTGGTTAACACTTTGGGCTACAAACTGAAAAGTCAGTAGTTCAAATCCAGTAGTTCTTCTGTGGGAGAAAGATGGACAGTCTCTTCTGATAAAAATTAATAGCTTAGGAAACTAGATAGATGATAGTGATGAATCTAAAATGACCTATAGGCAGTGGGTTTATGAATTGATTTTCAGGTATTAAATCAACTTTTCATTCTTGAGCTAAATTTCTCTTGTTCATTGCATACAATCTTGCTTATGTACTTTGTTTGCTTGATGTGTTAGTATTTTGTAGATCATTTTTATGTCTATATTCATGATAGATAGAAAACTAGCTTTCTTGTGAAGTCTTTGGTTTGTTATAATAGTGTAGCTCATTTCGAAGCTTTGCATAGTACCTTTTTATGGCTGATTGGTTACTGATTGGCTTTTAATTTTTTTCTTCAAATTCTCTCCTTTGATTTATTAAGTCATCAGTTTTATCTTTTGAATATATTGGAAAATGTCTGTCAATTTCCAATATTTATACATTTCTTTTCCTTGTTTTATATTAGCCAGAATCTCCATAAGAGTTATTGTTGGTGATCAATGAACTGGTTCTGATTTACAGTGCCCTGCATAACAGAGTAGCACTGTCTCATAGGATGTTCATGGCTGTACTCTTGCTAGAAGCAGATAGCTAGGTCTTTCTCCTGTAGATCTCAGGTTCCCTTCCTTAATAGTGCTAGATAATAATTACATGGGTTAAGGTGCCCTGGTGGTAAGAAGCTATGTTACAATCCCACAGACACATGGTTCAGATCCACCAGCTGCTCCATAGGAGAAAGATCAATAGTCTCTTCCCTTGTGATTTGCTGCCTCTGAAAACCTGGTGGAGGGTCAGCTATGGCTTGGTCCAGACTTGACAGCAAATAATAACAGCAACAAAGTAAGAAAAAAGACAGAAGGCAGCAGGCAATAGTTTTCCTCCTAACTGGAATCTGTGAGGAAGAATGTGGTACTATGATCAGAGGAAGACTTGTCAATAACCTGCATTATGCAAATGACACAACCTTGCTTGCTGAAAGTGAGCAGGACTTGAAGATCTTCTTGAAGAAGATCAAAGAATACAACCTTCAAG